CCTGCAGTCCTCCATCATTCCCCACCCCTGCCTACATTCACCTCTACTGCGACCAACCCCCAATCCCCTCCTCGTCTTGATCTCCCGAAACGAGGCGATCAACTGCTCCACCTCGAACGACTTCTTGATCATGGGCATCGCCTCGGTCTGCATGCGAACCATCAGGGGGGGCATCTCGTCATTGCAGTCCTTGATCTTCTTCTCCATGTCGGACATGTACTGCTCGTTGTTCTTCAGCCGTGTCCACTCGGGCATGTTCTGACAGGCTGTCTGGAGTGTGCTGAGGCCACTCATAGTCGTTGTGAACGAGGCAACCACTTTCTTGGCACCGGCCTCAGCAATATGCAAGCGCTTCTTCTCCTCCCTCTTCCGAAGCTCATCTTCGGTCGGGGGCGCAGTCTCACCGCCGGCAGCATCACTCTGCAGCTCAACCTTCGCTTTGCCCTTCGGTGTGGCCTTGGCCTTGGCGACCATGCGGGAAGCTTCGCCAGCCTTCGCGACCTTCGCCTCTGGCATGCCCTCGGCGTCCGAGGTCGGCTCCCTCTTGACTTGCGTGAGCGTGCCAGTGGTCTGCTCGTCGTTGCCAGGATTCTCGGACTTTTGCGTGTCAGTGAAGATGGGCCAGCACCGCTCCATCTCCTCCTTCACACTCTCCTCGAAATAGAGGAACTGAACTCGATTGAACACGGGGTAGCACTTGACCCACGGCCCCCCCCCCCCATCTTCAAGCAGCATTCGCAATAGAACTCCGCCGCTGCGACGTTGCCGGGGCCCTCGCAGCCGCCCTCCTCCACGATGCTGCGAGGGAACGAGCGGTAGACGCCCTTCGTTGCATCCACCATGCGATGCGTCTGCGTCTTCTGGAACCTCTTCTTCTCCTCCTTGAGCTTCTCAGCGGCCCACGCCTTCTTGACCTCCCGCTGCGCCTCTCGACCGTGCCTCTTGGCCGCCTCGTACTTGTCGCTCCACTCTCCTCCCTTTTTCTTGATCCTGTCCCAGCTCTGCGCCAACTTCGTGCGAGCAGCAATGCCTTTCGACACTGCCTCCTCCAGCTCTTTGATGCGGGGCGGGGTCTGATCCGCCGATGACGCCGCCGCCTTCTTGACTGCCTCGATCAGCATGCTCCCCCTCTCCTTCGCCGACAGGAACAGCCGCTTCTTCTCAGGAGTCTCGAAGCCCCCCCCCGAAGATAGCCCCCGCAGACTCTGCATCTCCCTCCGGGTCCGCCAGTTGGTGAGTCCCGCCGCCAGCCCCGCCTGCAGTTTGCCCAGCCGTGGGCGGCTTAGCCGAGGGTGGCTTAGCAGTGGGTGGCTTAGCCGCGGGTGGCTTAGCAGTGGATGGCTTAGCCGAGGGTGGCTTAGCCGTGGATGGCTTGGCAGCGGGCGCCGTGGATGGCTTAGCAGAGGGCGCAACGCGCGGCCTCGACTTGAGCGCCGCCAGCATCGCAGCGGGCGGAGCAGGCTGGCCTACATATGCGCCCGCCACTGGCAGCTGGGCCTGGCCCGCCGCCGCCGACGCCTCCGATGAGGCCCCCGCCGACGCCCCCGCCGATGCCTGTGCATCCGATGCCGCCGATGCCTCCTCGTCATCTGATGCCGCCGATGCCACCGCTGATGCCTCCCCTGCATCCGATGCCGCCGATGCCCCCGCCGATGCCCCCCCTGCATCCGACGCCGCCGATGCCTCGTCCTCTGATGCGCCCGCCACAGCCGAAGCCTCCGCCTGGGCCCCCTCCGATGTCTCATCTGCCGCCGCCGCCGCCGCCCCATCATCCGATACATCATCAACCGCCGACACCACAGCAGCGTTCTCGTCCTGCGCAGCCTTTTTCGCCCTGCGACGGCTTCGGGACATGCTCCTGTGATACCAGCACGCGCCGACGGTGAGCTCGATCAGCCGCCTCTCAATTCCAAACTGCACATCCCTCTCGCACGCTGCGCTACCCTTGGGGTCCTCCTCCTCCTCCTCCTTTTCCTCCTCCCTCCTCTTCCTCCTCCTTCTCCTCCTAGTGCTCGAAACCCATCGCTAAGCAATTGCGACCGATTGCCAGTGCGACGTGCCCCAGTGGAACTGACTGTTTCTAGTGTCACCCGCCCCCTGAAGACGGAGTGGTCGAAACCCATTGCGTGACGTTCTGCGCAGGAACGGACAGCGACCCGCAGAGCGTAGTATTACGTTCAGCGGGTCGCTGTTCGTTCCTGCGCACTGGGTGCGCATCGCGTTGTATGACATTGCTATTGCACGTTGCCAAGCTGTTCCTTTCTCGCTCCCCACCTCGGCCACCCTCCTGCTATTGCCACCCCTCTCACATGCTTCCCCATAAGCTTCGCAAAGTGCCCCCCTAGCCCCAGCCCCGCCTCATCCAGCTCTGCCTGCGTTGGCTGGCGGTCGGGCGGCGGGCTCCCGGGCAGCGTGGGCACGCCGCCCTCGGAGTCCTCCTGGAGGGTGTCCTGCCCTTCGCGTGTCTCCGTGATTGCTACTAGTTGACCTCCCTTGCCCAGCGTTCACCCTCAGTTCTAAAGTTGGATACTCGTGGAGCCGCGGCCCACCCTGGCGCCCCCCTAGCACGCGGCCCCACTGTAGCACAGGGAAGCTGGGAAAGGTGGAAGTTGGAGAATCAGCCGAAAGCGGCATGGGGCGAATCGAGCCCGAAACAGTGGGGGCGCTGTCGCCAGGGCTGCAAACACCAAGGGGAAATCGGCCAGGGCTGGAAAGAGTGGAAGGGCTGGCCCAGTCACTTTTTCCAGCTTTTATGTGCCCCCTGGTGCACGAATCGCGTTTGTTTAATGACCGTTCAAAGTTTAATCATGATGTCCATGCTCCAGTTGCCCGCCTGAGTTGCCCCAGCGCGGGAATCTACCATCCCAGCCCGTCACCCTTCTTTCTTCCATGACTATTGCTTGTTCCTCCCCCTACCCTACTGTCCGTGAGATCCACAACTCCCGCAGAGCGTGGCATGGCCATTGCGTGGTCGTTGGAGCTGCCCGCGCCTGACGACTGCGCATGCAGGACTGGTTCGCCAACAGCTTCAGCAATGAGATCATCTAGCGCCTTGCCAGAGTAGTCCCCCATCGTGATGCATCCCTGGGGCCCGCCTCCGAGCGCCCCATGGGCCCCCGTGAACGGGATAGGCGGTGAGTTATCGCATGTGCCACGGGGTTGCGACATGCTGCCAGCGCCTGATCGCCAGTGATCTTGAACCTTCGATATCGCTGGCAATCACTCTCACCCATCGACGCTGCAGATCCCCATCTCCGCTGGGCATGGCATTGACTCCTTCTGAGCTTCCAGAACCTATCGCCGAGGGGTGGGAGAGCTGGCGACTGGGGCGCATGCCATGCCCCAGTGGGGATGAGGATCGTCCCTGCGCGAGCAATCGCCCATGCATCCTGCGTGCGAGCATCGAACCCTGCCCTCATCTAGCCCGGTCTTCGCCCCGCTGCCCCCCCCAGCTCAGTCCACACTTGTTGGGTGCAGTGAGTTGGCCAGCGGGGTCCATGCCATGGCCCCGTGGTGACAGGGGTCGGCCAAACTATTCTGGACAAAGCGAATTACATCCTGAAGGGTTAGGCAATGTGGAGCGCTCGAAACTCATTGCGTAACCATTTCGGGCATATGTGAACTCATTGCGTGCAAGATCGAATGCATTGCCGTCATGTTGTAAGCCAGGCTGAGTGTAAGTTGCCTTTATTTCTTTTCTGCTACCTCTTGATCCTCATCAGTCCCCTCTCTGCTTCCACGCGTGGCCAGTTGATCATCGCGCTGTGCCCCGCCCGCCCCCCCCCCGCCTCCGAGTAGGGTGACTCTACAGGAAATGCACCCGTGCCGAGTGGCAGTGCAACGTGCCAGATCAATATGCAATGCACAGCCACAAGAGTTTGCATAACTACAGACGTCGCGCTATCATTAGGAATGCCAGATAAGGAACATCCGTGTTTTGTTGGCCACCGCGGGCCTCGTCCACGAAAAGGTTTCCCTACTCAAATCTGAGGGGCTACTCAAAAACCAGAGTCCCTCCAGAGCCCAGAGCGGCCCTGAGTTCACCGCCTGAACTGCGCAGTCGGACACAGGCCAGAAGAACATCCATCAAGAGCATGAGACCCCCAGTCGGCAATAACAAACATAACATCTATAAGGGTACCCTTCCCAGGATGCACCAACTCATCCAACGAATGCGAACCGACATGTGCATCGGTCCGGCATGTGCTGCAATCGCCTCGATGAAAGAACATGCGAGAGCTGCTTAGACCTGCTGACTTCACATCATGTTTCTGCACGCGCAAACAGCGACGAAACCATCAGCCAGTGTTGATGCAGAATGTCTCGCGCTGATGCCAGCGCTGATGAATGCGCTGGGCATGTCGCCCAGCCAATTCCCGAAGTAGAATGCGCTGAGCTTCCCGCTCAGCTTCATCCCGTATCAATCAGCTGATTGTTCAGCCATCACGTATCCCAGGCTTCTCCCCTGCGCCCGCGCGGACACGCCATTGCTGAACATATGATTGCAGCGCGAGAAGGGGGATGGGGGAGGGGCACAGGGGGATGAACGGGTGAGATGGTGCGGAGGGGGTCGAGAGGAATGTGAAAGGGGAGCGGAAGAGGGAGGGGCGGAAGAGGAAGGGAACGGAGGAGGGGGGGGGAATGGAGGATAGAAGGGAAGAGAGCTTGAGGATAAGGGATGAGCGATAACGGTTACACGCAGCAGCTCCCCTTCCAATCCACCTGTCCAATATAATTATTGCGATCTATATACAAATACATATATGTGTACACAATAGAAACCGTTACCCAATCTCTATCAATGTATAGCACTTGATGGCAATCGACAGCTATAGCTCTACCAATACATTGCCTCTATGGCACTGTCCTACCTCTACCCAAGATGTAGCTGCAACATCCCGATGTGTTCCATTATCCGCGCTCTTACCCATGCCCCTCCGTTGAGCAAACTGTCGCGCTCCGCGTAGAGGTCCTCCTGCTCGATCTCGCTTGCCTCGAACATGGCGGCCAACTGGATGATCACCTTCTGCGCCATCTCCTCGGGGGCCCCCTGCTTCTCGTCGATGCTGATCATCATGATCTGCTTCTTGGATTCTGTATACTGCAGCCTGAAGATCCACTTCCCGTCCTTGTATTTCTTGACCTCGATATCATTCTTCTCCTTCGGGCGCGCGCCCGACCAGCGCGCGCCCCTGGCCTTCCCATTTGCACTTCTGCAGCTTCTCCTTCCTCTCTGCCTCGATGAACTGGAGGTCACCAGGCTCGAGAGCTTCGATCTTCTTCCAGCCGCAGCTGCTGAACTTGGCCCACACGGCGCCATCGTCGAACGCTAGGAGGGCGTCGCTGAACTCAGCAGCGCACGGCTTCCCCGTGGCGCGGAGCTTCCTCGACCACGCCCCGAGCCTGTTCTCGTCCCAGCCAATCTCGTACGTTGGTTTGATCTGCTCCGGCTCCGCCGCGACCGCGCCAGCTGCAACTCCTGTGCCAGGCTGCTCTTGCAACGTGGATCCCGTAGCTGTGGGCGGCGTTGAAGTCGCTGGCGCTGGTGGTGGCGAGCAGCGAGGTGCCTCGGGATCCTGCTTGACTTTCTTGGGTTTCGGATCTGGCGTCACTGGTGGAGCTGCTTCAGGGCCGTCATCGAAATCCATGGAACTGAAGGTCGAGTCGGGGATCTCGTCGATGTGCTGCTGCTTCCTTTTCACAACTGGCCTGCTCTCTTCATCGATCGTCGTCTCAATCTCCTGCTTCTCAATAGTCGCTGGACGAGCTGTGGTGCCCGTGATCTCCTCGGCGTCGTCTCCGTCTCCGATGGCCGCGGCTGGCTTTTTTCAACGCAGGGTCGTCTGCTGCCTCGGGCCTCTTCATGGCAGGCCGCTTCATGACAGGGGCATCATCCGAATCGTCATCGAAATCATCTGCTGGTCCTGCAGCGGGCTCAGCTGGTCCTGCAGCGGGCTCAGCGGGTTCTGCATCGGGCTCGTCGGGTTCTGGAGCACCTTTGTCACGCGAGAGCGCGAACCACTGAGCCCACTTCGGGGCTGGTGACCTCCCCATCCTCGACTTGACGTCCCCGATGGCGCAAAACAAGCGCGTGGACATGGTTGTTGCCCAATTCTGCTTCACCTGTTCGTTCATCGAGAAGCCTTTCATGCCGTAGACGAGATTGAGCGCACCGATGCCCACGTCCTTTGAGAAGTAACGGCCATTCAAACACATGAGCAACTGTAACAACATTCGTTTGGCCTCATTGATGCTGGCGACGTCTAACTGCACCTCGCGGAAGCGCTCGATCTTGTCTGAAGGGCACTTGAAGAAGTCAGGCGCGTCAACATACGGCAAGAGAGACTGGATTTTCGAGTAGGGGATCGATTGCAGAATTTATGCGCCCAAAGCTTGACTTGCCCGTCGAATATACTGGAAACGTGGAGCTTCATAGACCTACAGAGAATTTGAAGTGTGCCTCGTAGATCCGAAGGGCACATCAAATTTAGGGTGCATCGGTTCTGTGATCGATCGCCTACTCGAGGGATCAGAACACATACTGGTCGAAACCCATTGCAAACTCGACGGTCCCGATGCCAATTTTATCGCGCCGAGCTCGAAACTCATCGGCAGCTCGTCGTCGCAACACCCTCGCATGAGTTTCGAGCTCGGCGCTGTCGATGAATTTCGAGCTCGGCGCGATGAAATTCGCACCGGAATCGATGATGTTGCAATGAGTTTCAAGCTGTCTGGGTTCTGATCCCTCGAGTAAGGGATCTACTACAGACTCGGCGCTGCCCCCTGGGACCGAGTCTGTTCCGGAACAGACCCCCAGTCGAAGCCGCGTCGATTTTGTAGTCGATCCCCTACTCGATTGATCAAAACCAATATTGCTAGAAACTCATCGCGAAATCGCTCGATTCCGATGCGAACGGACTCCCAGGAAGCCGCGGAGTGCTCGAAACTCCTCGCCCTCCTGATCCTACCTCCTCGTCCTCCTGGTGTTTTTTCTGGCTCCACTCCTCGTCCTCCCGATCTCCCTCCTCGCCCTCCCCCTTCTCACGGTATTTTTTCTCGCCTTCCTCCTCTTCTCTCCTCGTCTCCATTTTGCCAGTCCTCCTCTTTCCTCCCCTCCTCTCCTTCCTCTCCCCTTTTCCTTCCTCTTCTCTCCCATCCTCCTCCTTCTTCCCAACCTTCTCATTATCAAAACTGTGTCCTGGCAGATCAGCGCTGGGCCCTCCAGCCATTCCCACGCGTTTGGCGGGCTGTCCTCCATGGTACAGGGTGCTCGAGCCAGCGCGAGCTGCGCCAGCTCCCTCTTCTCTCTCTTTCTCTCTCTCTCTCTCTCTCTCTTTCTCTCTCTCTCTCTCTTTCTTTCTCTCTCTCTCTCTCTCGGAGGGCGGCTTCTTCTCAAAACCAAGGGGCCCAACCCATAGAACCCCAATCCCAAGAACCCCCCAAGACCCACACACAGAACCCCAATCCCAAGAGCTCACCTAGAGACCCCGATGCCCTAGACCCTTGGCCCTGGGCGAGAGGGGTGGCATCGGCCCAGAAGATGAACGTCTCCCAACAAGGGAGATCAGATGACCATGGGCCCCACCGCCTGCATAGAGCCCTTCCTGCGCACCCCTGGTTGCGCCGAACTCTTGGCGCAACCAAGGAGTCCTCGAAAGGGCCCTATGGACGGTGACGAGCTAGCGCACCCCTTCCTGCACGCCCCTGGCTGCACCGAACTCTCGGTGCAACCAGGGGGTCATCGGAGGGGCCGCGCTGTCACAGCCCCATGGCGGCACGTGCAATTCGGGTTTGCCACTTCTTCCCCCTCGCCCCCCAGGTACACGCGCCCTCTCTCAGGGCGCCCCCCTGGGCGCCCTGCCCCCCGGCACGCGCGCCTTTTCTCAGGGCGCCCCCCAGTGGCAAGGCTGGGCCCCCAAGACCCCCCCCCCCCCGAGACTCCCGCTGCTAGACCCCCTACAATCAACCCGCGCAATGAGGACGCGCGATGAGGATGCAAGGGCCCTGGAATTCCACGTCGACGCTGTGCGGGCGGAGCGCGGCAAGCGAAAGCGGCCAAGGATGGACCTAATGAGAAGGACGCGAGGGTGGCCTTTGAGAGCCGCTCATCCTTACTGCGCGGGTTGACTGCGCAGGGCGCAGCTTCGGAGTCACGGGGCCCAGAGAAGCTCCCCCGAGACGCCCTCCCGAGACGCCCTCCCGACACTGGCCCCCTTGCAAGAATACCTTTGGAGATCCCTTTCGGAGACATGAGGCTCCGAGGCCCTCCCGAGACGCCCCCCCGAGACTGGGTCCCTTGCGAATCCCTTAGGAGATCCTCTCGAGCGAACGTGATCCCAAGAGCCCCAAGCCCAAAAGCCTTTCCAATGAGAACCCCTGCAATGCAAAACCACGGAATGCAATGCGAAGCGCGCAGCAGCTCAATGTACACACATTTGTATATATATATACGTATATACACAGAAAGATATGTAGGGGTATATTCGTATGCATGCACATATACAATTGTATGTCCATACGTACATATACGTTAGTATGCACACACCTATATATATGTATATGTATGTATGTATGTATGTATGTATGTATGTATGTATGTATGTATATATATATATATACATACATGCGTACGCTCATATGCACGTGCATATCACCTGGTATGCATACACACATGCATATATGCATGCATGCATGCATGCATGCATGCATGCATGCAAACATACATATGTCTTCGCATACATATGCACATGCAGACACACCCACATATATACATATATAGGAGGAGGAGGAGGAGGAGGAGGCGGAGGAGGAGGAGGAGGAGGAGGAGGAGGAGGATGCAATTAGCCTGGCGAAGGACCCAACCATATGCAGTTGTGAATGCCGCAATTGTGCTGGGTGGTGGCGGACGCATGCGGGCGGTGCCGCTGGGTGGAGCTCCCTATGGGGCCACGAAGCGCTGTACTGGGTTGGTGAGACGCGGTCAGCAAGGGCTGTGCTGCGTGGTGGCGGACGCATGCGAGCGGTGCCACTGGGACCTTCGGTGGAGCTCCCTATGGGGCCACGAAACGCTGTACTGGGTGGGTGAAACGCAGGCAGGGAGCAAGGGCTGTGCAGGGTGGTGGCGGACGCATGCGGGCGGTGCCGCTGGGACCTTTGGTGGAGCTCCCTATAGGGCTACGAAGCGCTGTTCTGGGTGGGTGAAGCGCAGGGAACAAGGGCTGTGCTGGGTGGTGGCGGACGCAAGCGGGCAGTGCCACTGGGACCTTTGGTGGAGCCCCCTATGGGGCCACGGAACGTGCGAGGGGTGTGCCAGAATGGGGTGTGGAACCGCATGCCAGCGCAGCCACTGGGGCCTTCGGTGGAGCTGCCTATGGAGCCACGAAGCGTGTGAGGTGTGTGCCGAAATGGGGGGTGGAACCGCGTGCGAGCGCAGCCACTGCGGCGTTCGGTGGAGCTCCCTATGGGGCCACGAGACGTGTGAAGGGCGTGCCGAAAAAGGGGGTGGAACCGCATGCGAGCGCAGCCACCGGGGCCTTCGGTGGAGCTCTCTATGGGGCCACGAACCGTGTGAGGAGCGTGCCGAAATGGGAGGGGGGAACCACATGCGAGCGCAGCCACTGGGGCGTTCGGTGGAGCTCCCCATGGAGCCACCCCCGAAGCGTGTGAGGGGTGTGCCGAAATGAGGGGTGGAACCGCATGCGGGCGCAGCCACTGGGGCCTTCGGTGGAGCTCCCTATGTGGCCACGAAGCGTGTGAGGGGTGTGCCAGAATGAGGGGTGGAACCGCATGCGGGCGCAGCCACTGGGGCCTTCGGTGGAGCTCCCTATGGGGCCACGAAACGTGTGAGGGGTGTGCCAGAATGGGGGGTGGAACCGCATGCGGGCGCAGCCACTGGGGCCTTCGGTGGAGCTCCCTATGGGGCCACGAAACGTGTGAGGGGTGTGCCAGAATGGGGGGTGGAACCGCATGCGGGCGCAGCCACTGGGGCCTTCGGTGGAGCTCCCTATGGGGCCACGAAACGTGTGAGGGGTGTGCCAGAATGGGGGTGGAACCGCATGCGGGCGCAGCCACTGGGGCCTTCGGTGGAGCTCCCTATGGGGCCACGAAACGTGTGAGGGGTGTGCCAGAATGGGGGGTGGAACCGCATGCGGGCGCAGCCACTGGGGCCTTCGGTGGAGCTCCCTATGGGGCCACGAAACGTGTGAGGGGTGTGCCAGAATGGGGGGGAACCGCATGCGGGCGCAGCCACTGGGGCCTTCGGTGGAGCTATGGGGCCTGTGAGGGGTGTGCCAGAATGGGGGTGGGGCGCATGCGGGCGCAGGGGCCACTGTGAGGGTGTGCCAGAATGGGGGGTGGAACCGCATGCGGGCGCAGCCACTGGGGCCTTCGGTGGAGCTCCCTATGGGGCCACGAAACGTGTGAGGGGTGTGCCAGAATGGGGGGTGGAACCGCATGCGGGCGCAGCCACTGGGGCCTTCGGTGGAGCTCCCTATGGGGCCACGAAACGTGTGAGGGGTGTGCCAGAATGGGGGGTGGAACCGCATGCGGGCGCAGCCACTGGGGCCTTCGGTGGAGCTCCCTATGGGGCCACGAAGCGTGTAAGGGGTGTGCCAGAATGGGGGGTGGAACCGCATGCGGGCGCAGCCACTGGGACCTTCGGTGGGGCTCCCTATTGGGCCACGAAGCGTGTGAGGGGTGTGCTAGAATGGAGGGTGGAACCGCATGCGGGCGCAGCCACTGGGACCTTCGGTGGAGCTCCCTTTGGGGCCACGAAACGTGTGAGGGGCGTGCCAGAATGGGTGTGGGAGGGGGAGGAGGGGGGAGGAGGAAGGAAGGAGGAGGAAGGAACGCGGCGCGACGTCTCTTCAAAACGAGGACCCAACACCACAGGATGGTTGGGAATAAAACAACGAAGCGTCCATATTTAGTGCGCATGCACTTCTATATGTGAAGCTGTAGGCCAACTGTGTAAAACAGCACATACGTGTTGTACATACGTTTGGCGTGTACATGTATGTGCGCGTGTGTGTGTGTGTGTGTGTGTGTGTGTGTGTGTGTGTGTGTGTTGCACTGCCTTTTTGGCCCTGCAAGGTTTAGCACTGCCTTTTTGTCTTAGCACTGTTTTTTACAACGGCATGTGGTAGCACTGTTTTTTAGCGGTCGCGATGTAACACAGCCTTTTTGGCGCAACATTGCATATTTTGAAATCCCACTGCTCTTTTAGCGCCGGAAGAACTTCTGGGCCTGCTTCGCTGGATCTGGGATGCGTTCAAGTGCCCGGAGTGCGCCGAGCGAGCTCGTGCCAGCAGCCGCCGCAGAGTGGCCCTCCCCAGGACGGTCCGATTTAATCATATCGTAGGTGTTGCTATGTTCTACGTTCCCTTTCAAGAAAAGACTCGCCTTTTCTGAACATTGTGGACCACGGCTCCAACTTGCAGGTCTGTATTCGGGAGGAGGAGCCCACGGCGGCTCAGGTCTGGAGGTCCTTCGTGAAGGCGTGGATTCGTCCTTTCGGCGCCCCTTCACTTCGTGCTGTCGGATGGGGGTCCAGAAGTCGAGGGTCGCTTCGCTCGAGGACTCGAACAGTGGGGGGTCCTTCATCACGTATGCAATGCGAACTACCTTTGGCAGAATGGCCGAATCGAGCGACACGGAGGTTGGATCAAGGACGGAAGGCGAGGTGGAAGCCGGTTCGGCCATTCCCGGGGACGTGGAGGAGCTCGAAGAGCTCGTCTACGAGCTGTGCGCTCACAGAAACCGTTTCTGGCACAGGGGCGGATTTTCGCCAGTTCAGCGAGAACGCTCGCATGCCCCATGAAATATTGTCAGATGATCACATGGGCCTTCCCGCGTGGCAGGATACCATCCGGCCCGCCTCAGAGCTTGACTCTGCCGGTGCGGAGTTCGCCCGGTCGCAGCGCGCCAGGGAGTCGGCGCGTCGCCTGGCTCTCGAGGTCACCGCTCGAGACAAGGCGTCCAAGGCCACCAAGGCGAGGGGGCCAGGCCAGGGCCAAGTGATGTTTCAGCCCGGCCAGTGGGTCTTCGTCTGGCGACGCATGACTAAGGCGGGTCCGAGAGCCGACGCCTTGGGTCGCATGCGGGGCGCGTGGACGGGGCCCGGGGTCGTGGCCCTGTTTGAACGCGGCACCGCGTGGATCGCAGCGCGGGCGCGTCTCTGGAAATGCTCCCCCGAGCAGGTTGGTCTGGCCAGCGCCGAAGAGGAGAGGAGTGCGGCGTCCAGGTCGCCCAGGGCCCCCGGCGGTCTGAACTCCTCTCCCAGGCCCAGGCCAGGAGAGCGACTGCGGTGAATGTTCAGCGAGAGGGTCCGCCTCCCGATGAAGCTTGGGACCAGCCACTGTCTCTGGAGGCGGACTCGGCGCCCCAGGCTCCGCCGGGGCCCGAGTCGCGGCCGGATCCGCCTCGAGAAGTTCCGATCGAGAGGCCCCCGGGGCCTCCCTTGGTTCGCCAGGGATTCGACCCGACCGGGTCCAGGCCTCCGTGGAGGCCCGGGCCCAGGCCGTCGTCGGCCGGAAGCTCTGCGGTGGCCAGGGGCCAGGGCCGGGTCGGAGCGCTTTCGGCTCCCTTCCATCTCCGATGGAGACAGCCGCGGAGGGGGCGATCCGCCCACGAGGCAAGACACCCCGGGGGGCGAGGACACTCCCCTCGAAGCCGCCGTCTCCTCCACTGCCTCTCCCCCTCCGCCTCCTGCTCCCTCTGGCTCTGGTCCTCCTCCCTCTGCCTTCGCTCCTACCTCTACTCCTGTCGTCGCCGACGCCGCCGCTGCCGGGGCCAGCAGGCCAGGCCGATCCAGGCCGTCTCAGCCCAGCGACGTGCCCGTCTGCATCCGCCAGCGCCAGGCGGAGACCCGAGCGGCGAGCTGTCTTCCCGGGGTCGGCGAGGCCAAGCGCGCAAGGATAGAGCCCCCTCCGGGGCTCGGTCTTCCGAGCGCGGCCCCTTTCATCGGGCGAAGCCCCGCGCGCCGACGCTGCCGCTGCCGCGGAGGCTCGGGGCGAGGGCGGAGGGCCAGGCCTGCTGGGGCGACGGGTCCAGGAGATCGAGTCGAGGGTTCGACCGGACGGTCTGGTCTCCTTAGCGGTTGAAGCCAGGGAGGCGGGCGTTTTTCTAGTTGAGGAGCGGCCCGGGGCCGAGCTCGAGGTTCTGGCGGCCAGCCGTGGCGGAGAAGTCACTCTCGGCAAGCTGACGCCTGCCGAGCGGAGTAAGTTCGAAGTGTCGGATGACACCGAGTGGGCGAACATTGCCAATTCGGGCGCGGTCGAGGCCCCCCCCCCCCCAAGGAGGCCGGGGTGATCAGGCGGGGGCAACCTGGCCGCATCATCACGAGCCGCATGGTTCGGAGGCGGAAGCCCGTAGAGGGCGCATTTTCTGAACCAACCGCCAAGTCCCAGCGGTGCGTCCACGGACGCAGAGACCCGGGCACCGGGACGTTGTTCGTCTACTCTCCTACTCTCCAGACTTCGTCCATCCTCGTGCTCATTCAAGTGATGATGAACCTCGGTCGCCTCGGCGACATCGCCGACGAGAGAAATGCCTTCTGCCAGTCGGATCCAATGGGCCGTGCTCAGGGAGAAATATACGTGGAACCGTGGAAACATGCGAGGGCATCAAGGTTGAAAATGGGTCTCTCATCAGGTTGCTGGCGAACGTTTACGGGTTGGACGATGCGCCCCTGGCCTGGCGCAATACCATCGTCGGATACTTCAAGACAACGGGTATCACGCGCAGCCTCTTGGAACCATGTTGGCGCATTAGGTGCGATCCGGACGGCGCCGTTATCAAGGTGATCCTTCTCGAGGTCGACGATGTCTTTATCGCCGCCAATTCGGAGACGTCCGGGGCTTGGATCCGGGAGGCCCCGGTGTCCAGGTTCAAGTTTGGGAAGTACCGAGATTGCCGCAGCGGCCCTGTCGAGTGCGCCGGCCGCAGACCACGATCGACCAGGAAAAATATCTCGTGGAGGAGGTGAGGGCGATCAGCCCCGAGCGCGACAGGCTGGGTCAAAAATTGCCGCCCCGCACCCAACCCGATTTCAAAGCGCTCAGGTCCATGATCTATAGACTGAACTGGGTCGGTCGTGAATCTCGTCCAGAGGCCGCTGGCGCAGCCAGCGTCCTCGCCAGCAGATCGACGGGCGCCGCGACAGGAGATGAGTTAATCTGCTCCTCTCCGCCTCATATTCTATTATAACTTAACTTAGTTTGCATGCGTTGCACTGTCCGCTGGAACTAACAGCTGCGTTCCGCAGCTGCATGGATGCTCGAACAAGCCAGCCTTGGCTTGCAGGAGAGAAAAGGAGCGTGCCAGCCCTCGGCCGTCGCGCGTCGTCGGTCGTAGGCCAGCCGGCCTCCTCCCTACACATTCCTGATCGAGTAATCTTGCTTAACAGATACTTGTCTTATCGATGTCTCACCCCGCCCCCTTCTCTCCCTGAGCAGAGCGAACGTGAGATCTTGATTCACTTGTCATCTTGCCCCGAAGCTCAGAGGAAAGGCTGGTTATCAGCCGAAACGCGCGACTTAGTCGACGCGGGGTCATCCCAACCAAAAGAAGAACTTTCGAATGTGCCCCGCGACTCAGTCGCTGCGGGAATGAGCAATGATGAGACTGATGTCGTGTCCAACGTCTCGAGAAGCGCCGACGCGCGCGTTGTGCAACATGGTGGACGCGACGCAAATAAGAGCGGTCCAATCCATGATCGCGCCCCTCTTTCATATATTGCCACTCGGGTAGCTAGGGGCAGAAGTGCCGAGGGAGTGTCGGAGATGTCGGTAGACGTTTCTCCCGCTGGAGTTCCGGTTGGTAATCGAGATCAGACCCGGACCCGCACGGGCGAGATGGCGTGACAGCGAGAACTAGACGAAGTGCGTTTTCGTCATGGGGTGCCAAATCGACGGAGCCAGTCAGCCCAATTCCGAACGCTACACATGCTATCGCTACAGCCGCTGGTGAAGCCAGCTGGCCAGGGGAAGCCCAAGAGAACGTAGGTGCGCACCCCGGCATCCCAAATGAACGGGCGGGTACGAGTACGAACGTTCCCATCCCAATAGCATTAAACGGACAATTCGGTCAGGACAATGATGAGCCCATTGATAAAGAGCATGAGCTAAACTCCATTGAGGAAGATTTTGATAATACCAATAACGAAATTTCCCTGAGCCGAGCGTTGTCCGTGATGATGGAAGAAGACATCCCCGCTCGAGACGAGTGATGGTCTCCAGATGGATCTAACCAAGATACTAGTATCCTGACGCCTCAGGCGGACAGGACGGAGGCCCAGACGAAGCATGAGAGGGAGTCCACAGGACGAACCCCTGCACCTCATCTCAAGAAACAAAGGAACGAGGACTACGAACTGAACGTCTCACCACTGAAAGAAGGTTTCTTCCGTGCTGTCGCCACCTCAGGTGACTGGCAACCCTCGATTCCAGCTGTTGTTGAGGATGAAGAAATGGTTGGACAAGCAGCTTCGTGTACTCAGCTAATAACACAAGACGAAAAGGATGAGGAGCCCTTGGGCGTGCCTAAACCCCCAGAAACTATTTTCGTTCGCCCCAGATCCAATGCTTCAAGCAGGGGAAGACCCAAGATGCCAATATCAGGGGCGATATCTACTTCAAGGAGCAACAGTGCCGTCTCCATGGCGGAGGCCGGTTGGAAACCTAACCCTAATTGCGCGCCTCAGGCGGAGAGCAGATGCCCAGGAAAAGCCAACGGGCCAGAAGGCGCATGTAGGAATCCAGCGTGCAAGAGTTGCTCGGACGTATGCCACAAGTGTAACATGCAGTGGCTTTGTACAGAGTGTTGCCCAATGGACGAGCATAATTGCACGTATCTCCTCATGCAATCTATCCAGGACCAGGCCAGGCTTGCGGAGGCTAACACCCAGAGAGAGTTCCTGAACAATGAAGCGCAGCTGGCTGAAAGGGCCCGACTGGACAGAGAAGAGATGACTGAAACCATGGATGAAGTTCGAAAAACGTTCGAGGCTGAACCGGTCGCCCTAGCCATGGCTGCAAGAGAGCGAGAACAAGAGCTGATAGAACAATTGTATGGTCAGACCGCGGCCGTTAAGCGGCAGGCGGAGATGGAAGCCGAAAAATAAATACATAGACTTGCTGGCTTCTGAGAGGCAGGCCGTCGCGATGGCAACCAATAAATCTATTGGCGCCAATGCGGTCGCCGCTGCTGTTGCGGCGGCCAGAGTAGAAGGAGAACAAATCGCTACAGTCACGGCGGAACGAGAAAAGCAGAGTTTACAAGAAGAGCTTAAAGACGCCAGGCTGGAAGCAGTTAACACCCAAGCTATAGCTGCGAACATAACAGACCAGAGCAATCTTTACCTGGAAGAACTCAGATGGCATGAAGGGGCCAGATCTTCCCTCCAGCGTATACAATCGAGCGTTGCTAAATGCCCGCCGGCTAAGCCGACTGGAACGAACGTACATCAATTGTCGACGGCTCAGTCGTCCGGCACCGCACCCGTTCCAACGCATTTTGATCCGACGAACTTGGGAAATGCGGGAGCGTCAACCTTGCTGGCAAGAAATGCGACGCATCCTCCTCCCGAGGAGAGGGGAAATACATTCTCCGTGGCCCAGTTCTGCGCAGTCTGCTTTCGTCCGAAGACGGACAATTGCGTCGGATGCGGTAGGTCAGCATGTGAAGAGCATATCGATGCAAGCACTAGAAGATGTTCTAAATGTGACTTGTGGAAGAGTGAAAGGTCAGCTGCCAACATGCGAGAAGAGAGGCCATTTCGAACGCAGCTAATGCAGAGAAAGGAATGATGAGGCTTAAGGCTATCATCACCGACCCGACTCCATATACTGAGAATAAACGAGAAGCCGGACTCACATCGAGTTCATTCGGCTTACCGTTGTTTTCGCAAGAAACTCCCGTGAGGCCATTGTTGCGTGAGCACTTTACTGTTCCAGGCCCTGCCCTAGAAGGTCCGGCTAAGCCAAACACCACCGAGAGTGGATTTCCTATTGGAATCAAGCTAACTGGGCCTAACGAAGGTAACGCTCTCGCCCATTACCGCCCATCCCATAGAGATGGCCCTACGGGAACGACGGCGACTAAGTCGTCGGGCGAGGCAGGACAGGGCGGAGAAGGGGGCGACAAGAGCGACGCTCCGAACACCGAGATCATATCTTCACACGAAGATGATCATGATAAAAGACTACGCGGGTCGCCTCCGGGAAGCCCAGGGGGTTCAGATCCCTCGGGCGGCGGAGGCGGCCGCAGGGGACCTCAGGGCCCTGGCGGGCCGCAGGGCCCAGTAGTAATCGACGAAAGCACGCCGTTGGATCACTGGAGACAGGTCGGTAACAATCAGAAAATTGATTTGTTGGGCATCCCTGGTGTCACGAACATTCGGGAGTGGCAAATGCACGCAGCACGTGCGATCGCTGGGTCATCGTCCGAGAGCCAGGCGGCGCAGTGCTGGATTACTGAGGCTATGAACCCAGTTGTGGAGGATGAGCAGCTGAAAGATGCAGGGCGATTCCAGCGTCTCGATCTCATGATTGCAACGAACCTCATCGAGAAATTCAACAAGATGCGAAATAATCGCCATCAGCCTGGCCACCATACTCATTTCCTCCAACAGATCACTCGCATGGAATACAGCGCCCAGAACGAGGGAATGCTCCTGACTGGACGCGAGATGGTGAGAGCCATTTGTCATTGGTGCTCGGTGAGATCGGAGCTGGGACAACATCGCATTTCGCGTGATATCTTCAAGGTAATCATTGACCCACACAAGCCAGATGCTGACCTGTATCATTTCTACAATGAAGGGACAGACGTATATCAACAGCTTTACGGCGCTAAACCTCCTTCCGATGAAATGAGGGCCTCGATTCATGCGCACTTTCTGGAACAATGCAGAAAGCCGAGCAAATTGAATGTCGTGTGCCAGTTGTACGACATGTCAAAGGATAAAGTGGGACATGGCGTGGCGAGTTATGAATGGCTGATGGAGCAAATTGAAGAAAATATGTTGCG